CCTACACCATCCATGGCACGCAGGTGAGGCGAGGGGGAGAGCACGCAGGTGGGGCTGCGGGGGCGCGGCTGGCGGTGCTTTGCATGCATAAAAGCTAGACAGTGCGTGTGCATGGGTGTGCGTGCGCGAGCGCGTGTGCTTTTGTGCGGGTGGGTGGGGAGGTGAGGCGAGGAGACGCGCTGGAGGAGGGTAGCGTGCTGCACCTGCTGGCCTGCCTCAGAGGTCTCCGCCGCCACCTGGCATGGCATGGAAGGACCTGGCAGGAGCCACCCACCCTCCCCTGCCCACAGGCCACACCCCTCACCTGCCCTGCACCTGCCTCTGGCCCGCCTGCCCCGCAGGGCGCCCTGCTGGAGCGCAACGTGGCGGTGGGTGTGGCGGGCCACGCTTTCTTCCTGGAGGACGGCGCCGAGACGGGCAACACCCTGCGCGGCAACCTGGGCCTGCTGGTGCGCCCCAAGACGGAGGGCGCCCGGCTCGGCTCCGACCGCGACGGCCCCAACGGAGACCTCTCCGTCTTTTGGATCACCAACCCGGTGAGGTCATGAGTGAAAGTTGTTGTTGAAAGTGGTGAATGGGAGGGAGGGCCCGCTGCTCTCTCTCTCCCTCCTCTCTACAAGCTGAGCTGTCAGCAAGTGGTCGTACATCGTACCGTGCACTTCGCTGCGGCACGGTGCTGCGCCGCACGCGGGCCTCTGTCTGGGGCGCGCCGGGGCGGTGGCGGCGGGCATGGAGGCGGGCCCGCCGCCCGGCTTGCAGCGCGGCCATCCCCAGCGCTGCGCCCGTCCCCCCTGCCCGTCTCCCTGCCTGCCTGCCTGCCTGCCCTCCTGCCTGGCACCACACCCACCCGTGCCGCCGCCGCCGCTGCCGCCGCCGCCGCTGCAGGACAATATTGTGGAGGGCAATGTTGCGGCGGCCACCACAGGGTGGGGCTTCTTCTACCACACGCGCCTCGCGCCGCGCGGCCTCAGCCAGGCCCGCTGGCCCGGCCTGCGCCCGC